ATATATTACTTTACTACACATGAAGGTTTAAATGGCTGCTCGTCTCATACACCACTTGGAAAAGCACACAGGAAATCAATAATGTTTAAAACTATACATAAAGTTTACTATACAGTTTCAAAATTACGATCAACTTTCAAAAATACTACCAAGCACATAATCACCCCTTCCTCTCTTGATAATGTGGGGTTTAACAGCAACCTAAAGTACAGGCTGGTCCAGACTAATTAAGTCTGCTGGGTAAACACTCAAAGAGAAACACATGCATTCTGTCATTCTGCGTAAGATGTGCTCCAACCCACTGGTAGGCCAGAGGAGCTGCCTCACGCGTGGGTAGCCCTAACAGCAGGGGCACCTCACTACTGACCTGAACCAAAGTCCCCCAAAAGTCAAGCACTCTCAGCCTGAACCTCTTACTCTTCGAATCTGGAGTCCTCCCACTGTACCGGAACTTGGTATAGACAGGCATACAGGTACCCGTCTGGCCTTGCCTGCTGCCTAGCTAATTTCCCCAAACAAGAAGGCAGGCCACTGGCGGCAACACCCAGTTTATAGTTGCTTCACTGAATGCAGTTACCATATCTACCCAAAAGGAGAGCAACCCTAAATGCAAGATACGTCCTCCTAAAAACTGTTTAAACTTTTGTGTATATTACTGTTTATTATTTATTTCATCGATGCCCAGTCTTTCCTCTCTCCAATGGAGACCCAGAGTGGCTTACATCGTTCTCTTCTCCTCCATTTCATCCTCACAGCGACTCCTTGAGGGAGATGAGGCTGAGGGAGCGACTGCCCCATGTTTAACTGGCAAGCCTCCGTGGCAGAGTGGGGATTCAGACCTTTGTCTCCCAGATCCTAGCCTGGCACTCTAACCACTACACAACACCGTAACTTGTATCTGAAGACGGCCCCTTCTTCCTGAAAACATATGGGGAGGGGGAGATGAACGAGCCCTTCTTTCCGGTAAACATGGTAGTTATACATCGTTCTCTTCTCCTCCATTTTATCCTCACAGCGACTCCGTGAGGGAGATGAGGCTGAGGGAGTGACTGCCCCATGTTTAACTGGCAAGCCTCCGTGGCAGAGTGGGGGATTCAGACCTTTGTCTCCCAGATCCTAGTCTGGCACTCTAACCACTACACAACACTGTAACTTGTATCTGAACTTAAGACGGCCCCTTCTTCTTGAAAACATGTGGGGAAGATGAACTAGCCCTTCTTTCCGGTAAACATGGTAGTTATAGGCACAGTTGCAAGACTAGATTGCTCTCGACACCGTGAACCGCTGCAGCATGCTTGCAGTTCACCCAGTCAGCAGAATTACCACAATAGAGAAGCTCCATCGGTGATTAGTGCAAAGTTGATTAATTCAGCATGTACCCGCGTGGCATTTTCCAGCAGACAAGCTTACCCACGAAGGCAACGGGAGAACTTCTTTTCAGCCTCATCCTGCAATTCACTTGCCGCCCTGTCTTTTTCCTGGAAGTCCTCTGGCGGGCTACGAGCTGAGCAATCCTTGCAGTCTCCTGGCAAGCCACAGCATGGCAAATGACCTGCTCGGGAGAGAAGAAGCCAACCTTATTTCCATTCCACATTTTCAGGGAACAGGCAATGCCATTATTTACCCTCAGGGTCTGCATAGTCAGCCCGGACCTGGATAGCCCAGGCAAGCCTGATCTCATCAGATCTCAGAAGCTAAGCAGGGCCATCTCTAGCATCTCTACTTGGGGGGGAGATCTCCAAGGAATACCAGGGCCGAGACACAGAGGCAGGCAACAGCAAACCACCTCTCTGAAACATCTGAGCCCTGCTAGGGGTTGCCAAAAGTCAACCATGACTTCTAGGCTCACAAACACACACACACAAAATACTCATCCCCCTCAAAAAAAGGTCTGCATAGTCAGTCAGTCATATGAAACAAGAGTCATGCCAGCCGCCACATGCCCCTCAAGAGCCTTGTGCTCACAAGATCAGAACTTACTGGCGATCCCTGGCCCAAAAGATGTCTGGCTGTCCTCGACCAGAGCTAGTGGAACTCTTTGACTGGAGTCATCTACGCCCTGTGCAACCTAGTACAGTTCCACAGGGCATGCAAGACAGAGATGTTCCGCCAGGTCTATGGCTGAGGACAGCTAAGTTTTTTTCATCTCATCCGGCCCATGACCCTGCCCCATGGAGGAAGGAATTGTATACTGCACCGCTTTCGTAGAAAGCACTGTTAAAAGTTTACTGAATTATTGGCTGCTGATATTTTTAACTAAATATTGGCCCCGGTCACACGGCAAAGTTGCCGCGGGAGAGGCACGGAAGGTGGGTGGATTATCCGGGCGCGATCACACCCCAACATCTGAGAAGTGGAGCTTACCAGTGACTTACCGCCGACAATCCGCCTTAAAAAACTAGTACCTCCAAGGTATTAGTAAACGTTTGCCACGGGCTGCCTCCAGACGCCCGTGGTGTGATCGCGCCGGCACGCGGCATTCCCCTCCGGTCCCTCATTTACCCACCGGTGCCGAGGGAAGGACCCGTGGTGTGCCGCCGACACGTCTGATTGCGTAATCGCGAATCAAACTCTGCCGGGGCAATTAGCCACGCCTCCCCCCCGCGATATCCGGCCCGTGTGACCGGGGCCATTGTATGTTTTAACTATGCTGCACTTTGCCCTGAGCCTTTTGGGAGGATGGAGGTCTAAAAATTAAATAAATACATAAAATAAATAAATGTCCTCCTTGTACGATGGTAGCTGGGAGCTTTTACTTATATAATCCCCTACTCCCTCGTTAGCTGGCTTCAGTGTGATAGAGGCACGCAACAAAACCAAGCATCACTATTAATACAGGCAGTCAACAGTAAAAAAATCAGTTGTCTCTACAGGCTTCTCCCCAACAGCAACGTCGACAAACAGCCTCATGAAAGAGGACAGACACACATGCCTTCCTGATGATAAGCAAAGGTGATGCCCTTCAAACATTCCCCATCCTCAAGAACTGGTACCATGACTAAAAAGGATCTCATTTGAATGGAGGAGGCACGTAGAATTCTATGGGAGACCATCATAAGTAGATGTTGACCAGAGCAGCACGCTTCATACAGATAACTGTATGAATGCCTTTTTATGTACAGCAAGAGATGGGAGAGGTATGGAATGCAAGGAGGAAAGAGGGAAGGATAAAGAGGTTCGCTGGAGAGAACTGAAAGAGAACCTGAGGAGTAACGACAACATTCACCAAAAAATGAAAAGGCTTACAGAAAGTACAGAGATGCGGACTGACTGAAAGATATCCGTAGTCTATCCTTCAACAGTAGATAAGGGAAACAGGAGTAATTTGGTCTTTGTGTTTACTTGTGTTTGTTGTAATTGTCAGTTGCTTAGCTTTGCCTCTGTTTAAATTCATTATCATCCAGCAATATAGCAGCTTAAATTAAGATCGGTTACCACTCGACTTCTTTTCTTGTAGTGTTGACCAGGAATCTTAAAACGTTACACTGGCACAAGCAAAGGCAGGCATTTTGCATGTGTTCCCAGAGGAACATTTGCCTTAGTATCCAAATGGCAGAGAGCATGTTTTCCTCCACTCCAGGTATACATTACTGGAAAGGTGCAATTAGTGTCGCTGATGCTCCAGGAATAGGAAAGGTGCTCCTCCAGATACTTCAAGGCCATGTAATCTGACACACACAAATGAATGCCAGCCTAACTAATGTTTAAGTTTTTTAAAGAGTCAGGCTCAGGTTCCTTCACACCAAACTCACTGTCCTGGCAGCCACACAGCAAATCTGGAGAATAGCTCTTTAAAAAGGACGGAGAGCCTGCTTCTGCTCAAAACTAGTAGGGGGGTGCCCCATTTTCCGAGCTGAAACAACACCGGGGGTGTGTGTGTGTCTTTTTCTGCAGCTGCACATTGTGTAAAAAGGTAACTTCCACTTTGGACCTCACACAGTAACTTAAGATGGATTGTACAACAACAACACTGCCATTTTTTTAGCATTTAACGGAAGGACAGATGGCAGATGGGACTCCTTAAGAAAAAAAAATCACACTGGGCTCCATGCTGCTACTTGGGTCTTCAAATGGGTTCAGGTTCAAAGAGGTGGAGATTTCAAATACAAATACAAAGCAGCTCAAGACCACCATTAACAGGATGGTCACACCTTATCTGTCTACTACGTTAGGAATGTCTGCATTAAATCCTAGAAATTTTACCACACCAGTGTGGTGTAGTAGTCAAGTGCGGTGGACTCTAATCTGGAGAACCAGTTTTGATTCCCCACTCCTCCACATAACACCAGCTGGATGACCTTGGGTCAGTCACAATTCTCTCAGAACTCTCTCAGCCCCCCCTTACCTCACAGGGTGTCTGTTGTGCGGAGAAGATGGGAAGGCAATTGTAAGCTGCTCTGAGATTCCTTCGGATAGTGAAAAGTGAGGATATAAAGTCAACTTTTCTTCTTCTTACATGTACAGTTGTAGCACCAATACCCATGACACAAACATCAGTTACAAAAGACGCAGTTTGCTTACCTCCCCAGTTCTACCAGTTTCAATCCTGACAACTCCAGGAATGCTTTTTAGGTACGCTTCCAAAGAAGGATGCCCCAGCAGTTTAAAAGGAATCCAGTCTCCAGTTAAAGATTTATATTCTCCTTGCAAATGAGAAAAGGGTACTCCTTCTTTATGGGACTGGAGAACAGCTCGAAGCATTTTGGCAACTAGATCTCCTTCCTGCATTTTCGCCTGTAACAGAAAGATTACATTCAGGATTCAAAGTAGGATTTTTTTTATGCTTGTGGGATTTGCAGCATTAATACGCAAGAAATCCAAAAGCAGTGAACCCAGCAACAACATAACCAGCACTAGCTAAACAGACAGGTTAGAAATTCTCAAGAAAGAATGTTAAAACAATCACAAGTACCAAGACAGCTTTTTGACTTTGTTGTAGCAAACCGAACAAACACTTTGGTTCAGATGAGCAAATACCTTGCCAGACATTCCCAACAAGGTGCAAGAGAGCCAGCGTAGAGAGGTAGACCGCATATACTCGGGCAACAGAAATCCAGGTTCAAATATTCAGCAATGAAGATCCTTGGGCCAGTCTGCATCTCTCAACCCAGCCTGTCATATAAGGTTGCTGATGGGATGGAAAGGAATACTTTCACTACCCTGAGTCCCTTGAAGGAAGGGCACGATATAAATACAGTTGTCCATAAGGAAAGGCTTATTTACTGTGACTACACGGTAGCCTCAGTGTTAATGGGCATAAAACCCATTTTGGAGTTTCGACTGTTAAGGTCATCCTCTGGAACTCCAAAACTTAAAATTAAATGAAGAGAACATCTAAAAATACGTTCTATTTTCTGATACCCATGAAAAGCTAACTAATAAAGCAATGTATAGTTCATTCTAATTTGCCAATATTCATATTTCGCACAGTCATCAGCACTTGACTCAATCTTAGAGGAACTGCCATTAAAGTAAAAATTACCCACAATTTATGACTTTGCTACACAAAGGTGATCTGCACAAGTTGTTAAGTACACCTTGCTCTTTGAAGGGAGGTGGCAAATACACTCACTGGGTGGCCTATGTGAGCACATGAAATAGCCATTATGTCTCCTAAATCAAGCAGGCTCATTCTATAAACTTCCCTCGAAGTCCTAGTCCACTTCCTTGTGCCTCTAAGACTACTAATTTCTGTGGGTTTTACTCAAACAGCAGGACTACAAGTACAAAAGCCTGCTTGAAAAAATGCATTTCTGCTCCAACTATCCCCATATGGTTTGACTCCAGAACCGGTGCAAGGGCAATTACCACTTTGGCCATCCTCTAGTTCAGTAACTTTTGACTGTATGCTTTGAAAACCTGCTAGCATGCCATGAGAAATGGGCAGATGACTCCAGTGAGCCCTAAGTATTCATCTACAGATAAGGATGCCTATTGCATCTCTAGGTTCTCGTTCCCTTTTTTTCAGGAGACATCTAGAACTTCTTAAAAAAAAACAGGATCCGGCATTGTTGATTTTACACACTCTAAAAATGGGTGCGTGAGTGAAACATGCCTTAGCTACCAGACGTTTAAAACAGTGCTCTTGCTTAAATGTTTAAGGGTTTTCCTAAAGCTTCACGCACTTGTCAATTGCCATCAAAGTAGCAGTCCTCACCTAAACACATTTGAGAGCTGAAGAGGACTGCACAGCTTTTGTTAGAAGCTGAGACAGCTTTTCCCCACTAGTTAAATGCTGATAATCATTTACAAACACTATTCAGTAGGACTGTCGCTTAAATACTTTGATCATAAAAATATTAAAAATTATTTTGACAGGCCTATCCTTTAAAAACATTAATCCTTTAAAAATTATTTTGACAGGCCTATCCTACCTTACCTAACTAAACAGCAAAACAATTATTCCCTCTTGTCTGTGACATTAAATTACATTGCATTTTACACAGAAGGCAATTTCGTTGCTAAAATCCTATGGGCAACTGATATAAAAAGTGCCAGATCTTTTAAAACACAAAGATACTCAAATAGTTTCCATATTTGGAGGAGGAGAGTATAGGGAGACTATTCCCAATAAAATACTCAGAAATAAGTTCCGAAGCACAAGAATGACAAGGCAGACTGAACAATTAACCAACATATTCTACCAGAAAGTGCTGCAACTTTTAAAGGAAGACAAGATTACTCAGTGATCACTGGCCTTGATAATGCTGCGGGCATTCTGTCCTGTTTCTTGCTATGCAAACAAGGATTCCGCTGAGCAAAATGTATTGCTGAGAAGAATATAAACTACATACTCACGCAGTACACAGCAGAACCCACAACCATCACTTCCCAAATCTTGAAGAGGGACCGGAGGCAGAGAACTAAACCAAGCTGAAGCAGTCCCTAGTTCTGGAAATGCCAGGGACGCGTCACCAAAAATAAGCTTAGTCAGCACATCACATCAGAAGAGAGCGGCAGTTGTCACAATTTTTTTTAAAAGAAGCCGCATGATACAGGCACAGAATTAACAGTATAGTGGAAAGTTATTTTTCTGCAAGTAGCCCAATGCCTCAACATTACCCATAGCGTTCAACCTTGTAAACAGAGTGATCTCATTACTGCACCTGTGGCACAGTAGTAACACCTAACACACCCAGAGGCGAGCCTTTTTTACTATTTATTGATGTAAAGCAATCAGACAACACAGTAACTGCATTAAGGAGGTGGGATCTTATACAAGCCTTGAAAGCAGCTTCCTCAGCTGCACGTGTATTCGTGTAATGGCTTTTTCGCATATGTGCTGGGCAAATGGAGCGTAAAGGTAACACCCGTGCCCTTCCTAACGAGTCCAGCAAGCATCAATTGTGTGGGTGAGAGATAAGTTACTTGAATTATGCCAGGGAAAAGCTCAGTGGCTTACAAGCAAAGAACAAGACACCACAAAGGCACACACAGTACCCCAATCCCAAGTGAAGGTGGGATAGAACCTCTCCCTTAAAGCAAGGTCAACCTAAAAGAGGACCATTTATATACTGCATTAATGCCAATACTTTGTATTTATTCTATAGTTTTAAGGTTTTTACTATGTTGTACATTGTCCAGAGCCCTACAATAGTAGGGATTGGGTGATTCATAAATGTAACATAATAAATAATAAATATCCAAAGAAAACAGGCAATACAAGTTCACAGAATCATAGAATCATAAGAGTTGGAAGGGACCTCCAGGGTCATCTAGTCCAACCCTCTGCACAATGCAGGAACTTCACAAATACCTCTCCCCCACAACCCCAGTGACTGCTGTTCCACACCCAGAAGATGGGGTTTGGCTTGCAATGAACTGAGTATGTGTTCTTTGACAAGCTAGGGGCATTTGGCCTCAGCCCTGCAACTGCAACAGGGGAAGGACAATATTAAGCTACTTTATAGGACTGTTTGGAGAATTACTGACAACATTGTAAAGTGCTTCAGGCACTTCAAAGTGCTTCCTAAATGCCAAGCATTTATTTTTAATCAACATGGGAATAGGACTAATAGTAACAGAGTCGGTCAGATTTAATGGCTTTGGATCCTTGCAGCAGAGCGACTTGCAGCTCCTGCATTCGACATGTTATGGCGAGAGTCCAAAATTAAGGGGACACTTCTATGAATCCAAGCAATCGCAGTTCCAGGTGAGTTTAGACATTTACAAACACTGAGGAGTAATGCTAGTGAACATAGGTATTGAGAGTGTTCACTGGCATATATGACACGCCTGGGCATTCACCGAACTTCCCACTGGCTATGTTTCTGCTTGCTGGACATATGCTGATAAGCACTAACATTCACCAACTACATTTGGGACTAAGTTAGAGTCCAAGGGCACCATTAAGACCAACAAAGTTTTATTCAAAGTGTGAGCTTTTGTGTGCACGCACACTTCCTCAGATACACTGAAATGGAAGAGAGGCATCTATCTATATATATGAACTGCTAGCTTCCATTTCAATGTATCTGAGAAAGTGTGCGTGCACACGAAAACTCATAACTTGAATAACACTTTGTTGGTCAAAGGTGCCACTGGACTCTAACCTTGTTCTATTGTTTCAGACCAATATGGCTGCCCACCTGGATACATCTGGGGCTCTGAATGTTCCCCCCAAATTCCAACCATCTGACAAGAACACATTTCCCCCCCCTTGCTTGGTACCTTTTGCTTAAAACAAGAATGCAATTTTCATTAATTTCTAAAGCATCAACAGAGCAAAGGACAGAGAGACCAACAGTGCGATTCTAACCAGAACTACCCCCTTCTAAATTCACTGGCATCACTGGACTTAGAAAGGTACAGCTGTTTAGATCTGCACTGCAAAAGGGAGGCAAGTCAAAAAGGCAGATCAAGAGCCACTCTTGGCAACAATGAAGATGCCTCTTCATCCTCCACATACAGGGAATGGCATCAGTGATTATAAAGAGAAAGCCAGAATAGGAAACCGTTACAAAAAGACAATCGAGTATTCAAAAAGTAATATTTGACATCTTTATTTTAACTTCTATTAAAAAATAAACAGTGCTTGTGTGGTGCAGTTCTAAATATGCCAAAAAGTATCTAGGTAAGGTTGCGATGTCCTCCCTGGCCATCCCCAAGGGTGACTGAGGGGCACAGGGTTGCCAGCTTCAGGTTGGAAAACTCCTGGAGATTTAGGGACGGAGCCTGAGGAGGCCAGGGACCTCAGTGGGGTCCAATGCCATAAAATCCACCCTCGAAAGCATCCATTTTCTCCAGAGGAATTGATCTATGTAGTCTGGAGATGAGCTGTAATTCCACAGAATCCTCAAGTCTCACCTGGAGACTGGCATCCCTATTAATCTAAGAGTTGTTGTTGGTCGCACAGTCGAGTCCGACTCTTCGCGACCCCATGGACCAGATCACGCCAGGCCTTCTGGTCTTCCGCAGTCCTCTGAAGTTTGCTCAACTTCATGTTCGTTGCATCTATGACACTGTCTAACCATCTCATCCTTTGCCGTCCCCGTCTTCTTTGACCTTCAATCTTTCCCAGCATCAGGGTCTTCTCCAGGGAGTGCTCCCTTCTCATTGGGTGGCCAAAGTATTTGAGCTTCAGTTTCATTATCTGGCCTTCCAGGGAACAGTCAGGGTTGATTTCTTTTAGGAATGACTGGTTTGATCTTCTTGCAGTCCAAGAATCTAAGAGACCCAGTTTCAAATTCCCCACTTCAATGAAGCATGGGTAACCCTGGCCCAATCACTGTCAGGCCCTCTGGGTTGTTGTATGAGGCAAGGCGACCTCGCAGGGCTGTTGTTTTGAGGATAACACCCAAGACAACAGCATAAACCACCGCGAACTCCTTTGGGGGGGCGGAATCACTATAATTATTTTTTTTTAAGTATACCACGTATAATCTGGAAGAAAGACATCTTACAGCCACCCCCCTCCTGCAGACTCATATTAATGGAGGAAGCAGAGAAATTATAGCGATGACTCTGCTCGAAGGCGCCGATATCCTTCCTCACTGGAACGAAGGAGGCTCCACCCCCTCTGCAGGCTCCGCGCAAACGCCCGCAGAACGCCCGTGGATAAATAAATGGCTTCGGGGGGGGGGGGAAAAAACCCCCCGCAAACCCCCCGGGGAAAAAAAAAGGGCTGGGGGGGGGGGTCCCCTCAGGCTCTCCCAACCCGAAAGGACGAAGCGAGACCGGGAAGGAACGACTTACCCAGGGCCACGGCGGCCCCCACTGGGGGCCCAGCCAGCCTACTCCCCTCGTCGGCTCCGTCGGCCCACCGTCACAGCAGCGGAGGAATCCACCCTACACGCCCCCCCCGCTTCCCTTCACCTCAACGGCGCTCCTCAGCCCAGCTCGGCGGCCCCGCCTTCTTTCCCTCCGGCCACGCCCACTCCGCCGCAAAGCTTCGCCAGGGAGACTGGGCGGGGCCTGAGGAAGCAGCCGGCGGGTAAAAAAAAAAAGGCTGCGCGTGCGCCTCCCGGCCGCAGGCCCCAACCGCAGCCGTCCGCTCTAACAGCCACGCCCCTCTTTCCTCCTTCCCCCGCCCCCTACGTGAAGCCCGCCAATCGGGTCGCCGGGTGCGGCGGCGGCGGGGGGAGAAAAGGAAGCGTGAGCCAAAAAAGCGGGCTGCGTTGTGAATCCCGTTTTTTTTACCTCTGCACGAGAGAGTGGATTGGGGAAGGAGAGAAGCCTTCGGTGTGCACGTGCAATAGGACGCGAAAGGGTGCAAGGGGTGGATCCGGCAGTTTGAAGGTGCCGGGGTGGGTGGGATCATTGGAAAATCACGTTTTTGCAATACTCCTTTCGTGTCCCTGGAAGTAGAGAGTCAGGGCAACAAACGGGGGTGTGTGTGTTAAATTCCTCCCTGCTGCGATATGATTCCACTCCTTAAACATACGAGTTATTCCTGCGAAGGAATATTCAAAGCTGGGATCCACCCCCTGCAGTCTGAAGTGGAAAATTCCATTCTGTTGCCTCGGCGTTGCACGACCTAGGTCGCTGGCCTGTGCAAACCCAAGCTTTCTTGGGCCGAGAAAAATATGCAATAGTTGTAAGGATTCAGTCGATTTGTTGAGGATTTCTTCATTGACGTCAATGAATGGGAAAGTTGGTCCGGTTGCATGGCGTGGTCCCCAGTAAACTTGCTAGAGAATCGTTAAGGTTACAATACTTAGCATCTTGACTTGGTGGTGTTGCTTGAACCAGAACCTGATTCTTATTCCACGATTCGGCAATAGGGGGTTTGCTTTGTCATGCGGGCAGAATCTCTCCCCAAGCTCAGGAAATGGGTCTTTCCTGTGAAAGCAGAAGCCATGTGAAATGTGCTAGTCCTTCTGATTTTCCCTCTTAAGTTGTGGAATCTTGTGAGCAAAAATTCTACTTTCTGAGCTACTGCCAATAAAGTTGTGAGCGAGCGATTTGGCTACTGCATCAATTAGTTTGCTCTGAAGCCATCCTTCCTGAGCTAAGACAAAAACCTATGAGCTGGAGGCTAAAAAACTGTGAGCTACCTAACACTAACTCAGCTTACAGGGAACACTGCTTGGGATACATCTATTTTAGGGTGCTCGGCTTTGCTAACAACGTGGAGACTCAGGGATTTCTCAGTGTATGATCACAGACCTCTGGAAATGAAGGAGGGCGGGGTTCAAGTCCTTGAATCCTGGCTCCCTTGTTATACATCTAGAAGGGTTTCTGAGCGAAGGTCATGCAAACACATGCAGGGTGGGCCATAGCAACAAGCAAAAGGGGTGCATTAATGGAGGGGGAAAGAAACAGGGCTGGAAGGGACCACAACTCCAGAATATCTGCCCTATCCTCTTCTTTTTTTGGACATGAATCCACTGTATTTCAGTGGGAGGGGATCCACACAGGAAAATCTAGGGAGTGAATGATTATGATAGTACAATATCCCAACAATGTGTGGATCACTGCAGTGTTTTGTGGTGTTGTCCTTGCTCAGCTGTCGATACATCTCTGGAGAGGCAGCATATAATTTCCATAAAGAACTAATGGCTTGGCCTTAGGTTGTTACACCTTTTCTCTGAGCAGTGAGAAACTCCAGAGGATTGGGGGGGGGGATAAAGCACAAATGTACCCCAGAGACACAGCAGCCAATCAGAGCAGTGCTGCATCCTGGCCAATAGGAGCTGTGGGCTGGAGCACGGAGAAAGGGGCCTAAGCCCAAGCACAGACCACCAGATCAACAGAAGGAGAAGAACTTTATTGGCGCCGGTTCAGTCAGCGAAGCACGCTTTAAACAGACTGAACCCAGAGCAATGCAGGCTCCAGGCTTTTATACTGCAACAAGGTTACACGTCATCATTTACATCACCAGAGTGGAATTTTCCATTGACTAGGCTTACTTTTCCCACCCAAACCAAACAAGCTCACTTCTGCCCCCTTATGACTGGAACATGAACAGCAACTATCCCCTTATATGGGCAAGGAATAATAAATGCCTACTTCAGTTTCACTATCTGTGCGGGTGGCCCTTCACGGTCCTCACGGACCACAAGCCGCTGCTGGGCCTCCTGGCCCCTGACTGCCAGACCCCCCCACATGATTTCGCCCCGGATGCTCCGCTGGTCTATTTTCCTGGCGGGATACTCCTACGCTCTAGTCCATCGCCCTGGCAGGGCAATGGGCCTCGCGAACGCCCTGAGCTGCCTGCCACTGCTGGTCTGTGACCCGGATCCGGCTCCCGCCCACCAGATCGCTCTCCTGGAGACCCTTCCAGATCGGCCGGTCCACTTCGTGGAGGTGGCTCACGGCACCTCCAAGGATAAGGTCTTGGACTGGGTGGTGAGGGGGTGGCCCGCGGCCAAAGGAGACCCTGACGTAATGCCCTTTGCTTCCCAGAAGGACGAGCTGTCCGTACACCGGGGCTGTGTCATGTGGGGTAGTAGGGTGGTCATCCCAAAACCCCTACGGGAGCGGGTCCTCACCGCCCTTCACAAAACGCACCCCAGGGTGGTGTGCATGAAAGCCTTGGCCTGGAGCTACGTCTGGTGGCCGGGGTTGGACCGGGACATAGAGGACGTGGTGAAGCGGTGCAACCCCTGCCAAGCGTCCCGGCCCGAGCCTCCCTGAGCCCCGGAACGGGCCTGGGAATCTTCCCACCGCCCCTGGTCCAGGTTACACTTGGATTTTGCAAAACCGTTTCAGGGGCAACTCTTCTTTATCCTGGTGGATTCCTTCAGCAAGTGGCTGGAGGTAGTTCCTGTGCCCACCGCCTCCTCGAAGGCAGCCACCCGGGTGATGTGGCGGATCTTCAGCGCCCAGGGAATCCCCAAAACGCTGGTCACAGACAACGGGACGGCATTCACGTCAGTGGAGTTCCAGGAATTCACGAGCTACTACGGGATCCGCCATGTCCGGGGTGCCCCGTTCCACCCTGCCACCAACGGCCAGGCCGAGCGCATGGTCAGAACCAGAAAGGATGCTCTCCGCCGCTTGAACTCCCCGGACTGGGATTATAAACTGGCGGTTTTCCTTTTCGGCCAGCGAACGCACACCACTACGGGGCGCAGTCCGGCAGAGCTACTTCTGGGAAAGGAGTTTGTAAGCCGCTCTGAGACTCCTTTGGGTAGTGAAGGGCGGGGTATAAATCCAATCTCCTCCTCTTCACAGTAAGCCATCAAATACACATACACCAAAGATTGCCGTTTAATATCCTTTACCATGGCAAGTTCTCAAACTGAGTGTGCGTTAAAAAAAATGCACATTATCTAACCAACGCCTTTCTAAATATCCCCGGAAGTAACTGCACAAACAACTTCTGTTTATTCAGACAAACTATTTGGGAGTACTTCACCAACGCCAGCCTTACTATACTGCCTTCAGTAAATCACATAGCTAAATGTTTTCCAGACACTTTTGCATACCAGAGATAAGTTATAAACCTGCCCTTGTGTGTGGGACAGAGTGTCTCAGGGTGAAAGAAGTAAGACCTCTGGACCCCATAAGTATATTAGAATAATTCAACTCCAGGATCCGTTAAAAGGTGAATCATTCCCCACTTTTCCAAGAAGAAAAACATCCCAGGGGTCAGTTCTTTCCAAAAGTCCAGGTTGTGGCCCCAGAGTCACTGTTGCCCCTCCTACTGTCAAGCAAGGGGCAGCCCTCACCCCAGATAGAGCGGATACAATTGGCTGTCATTGTGAGTGGGACCTGGAGCCCTGAATGGGGCAGTTGTGAGCAGTGGTAGTGAGAGCCTACTGTCCCCCCCTCCATTGGGGGCTGGGGCCATGGGTGGTCAGGGAAGGCCCCCTGCACATGGACCTGCACATTTCTTGGACAGCAAAGGTGGCAAACAAGCACGTATTGGAGCGCATAAAACCAGATATATCATTGGAAGGAAAAATCATATAACTGCGACTGACCTATTTTGGCCATGACATGCGGAAGAACTCACTAGAAAAAGCAATTATACTTGGATTGGTTAGCAGCAAAAGGAACCGGCCACCAAAGAACACAGCGGCTAGACACCATCAAAGTCGACACCAGCCTGAGCATGGTACGACTCAAAGAAACAGTACAAGATTGGAAAACATGGAGAGAGCTGGCCCATAGAATCGCCAAGAGTCAGACAGGACTGAATGGCTAACAACAAAAACCATACCTACCTCAGAGGGTTGTTGTGAGAGCAAAAGGAGAACGGGAGAACCACATTCCGAGCTCCCTGGAGGATGGGCAGAATCCAGATGTACTAGATACAGGCCCATGGCTACAGTGGGGCATTTTGGGGCTGCGTCCCTGAATTAAAAGCCCCACCCCACAAATAGCCCTGCCAGAAACCGTATTTTTCAGGGGTTATTTTTTGTATTTTTAAAATATGTGTGTGTATGTAGAAACCTTATTTTTGAGGAAAGACCCCCGCAGGCAGCGGCACCATGGCCTGACCTCAGGCTTCCCTGTCCCACCCACTGTGGAATTCTTGGGGAGGGGATCATGGGACCTGGGAAAAGACAGCTCAGGAGGCATTTAAATTTGCATGTTTCCAAAAGGCTCATGGGTATGCGTTTGAAAGACTCGCATTGACCTAAGTGGTCTACAGCAGGACTGGGCTACCAGAAAGGGGGACTGTTGGAGATGTATTGAAGGTGCCACTCTTGAGTGCCCTATAAGCTTCCTTGCCCTGTGGAAGGGAACTCCAAAGACCTTGAAATGTCTTCTGAAGGCAATTAAATGCCCTCTGAGCTATTTTTTCCTAGGAACTGGTGTGTTCACTGCCCTTTCCTTGAAAGGAAGGGCTAGAAACAGGCTCGGAGCC